TCATTATGCATGTACGTAGGTGTGAACATTGTTGTTTGTGTGGTAACGGAAAAACAGTGAATCATTTGATCTTTCTACTGTATGCAGCATATCATTTGAAAACCTTATACGCATTTGAGATAAATTCACATAGGCCTACTGTAAAACCGGGGTGGGGGGAGAGGATGAGGTCTGGGGGTGGTTTGGTCGGTAAAAATTAATGTTGTAATTTATGTATGCAATTGTTTAAGTGCAAAGCCCTTGCTGTTTTGTCGTGAGTCACGCGTCCCAGGGACCAGGACAAGTCAGTAATGTGACAGCAGACGCGGAAAGGTTCGGTCAGCACGCAGGAGATCGCGCACCGGGCAGAACTGCAGCGCAAGGGACAATTGTGCTGAGAGGGGCGGCGAAATGAAACGAGTCTGAGCTCGGGCGTGTTGACCTGACATTCGATATAAATATCATATTCAGCTCACTGGTTCAAAAGCTGATGAATTCATTGTCATTCATTGTACCTTGCAGTGTTTTTTTCTCTTCTAAAATTACGTTTTGCCTTGGAGCTATTTTTTCCCCAGGTATACGTTATTTGATATTATAAAATAAACAATTTATTATTTGAATTCATATTTATTTTAATAATTTAACAGCTATATTGCTGAACCCAGCACTGCATGTGCAAGGGCGTAATTTTGGTTTGAACATTGGGGGGTTGAGGTCAACTTCCATTTAGGGGGGCACATGATTATTTGGGGGGGGTTGCATTAGCCGGTTTTGATTTACTGGGGGGATTACAACCCCCCATCCACCCGTAATTTACGTCTATGAATTTTAAAATGCTCTGCGCAACGCATGTTCAAAAATGCAACGCGGTCATTTTTTTATTCTAGCACGTCTCCCTCAAGGGCTTTTTAAGAATAGCTCTCTGAGAGGAATCACATGTGGACCGCAATTCATAAGGGCAAAACATGCCCGGCAGCGTTAGTAATAAGTTATCGCCGAGGCGTACGTGAGGGCATTGGAGAGCTCGCCACAATTTTCTTTCTTACAAAGGAGGCTTCGGCTCAGATATCCCTAGAGGTCATTCCAGAGAACCTAACTATTTTATGTATATAAACTTTCTTCTGAAATCCTTCTGAAATTTACTTCAGACGGCTGTAAGTAGGTCAGACTCTACAACGCTCATCTTAACAATCGGCTGGAGCATTTTCAATAGGCTACGAAATACATTTCATGGTGATGCTGCAGCTGATCTTCAAACATGTGTTGTGAAGGTTTTCCATTGTTGATCACGTGAGGGAGGAGCGATGATATCTGCTTAAGGAGAAACGTGTAAAAATGTGTCAGCAAAGTCCGACCTGTCCTAGCTTTTTGCTACTTTAATTTGGGTTAGAGTGGAACCTGCCCCTAAAGGAGAAACTCATTGCTTCTGCGTAAACGTCACTGTAAGTGGTACAGTTCAGTGTTCCTGTTAAGGCTTAAAAATAGACCTATTGTCATTATGAGAGATTATTATCCAGAAATAAAACCAGAGTTAGTGGCTCACCACAGAGCCTCAAGCCAGCAGATAGTCACCGGTGATTGGGTGTTTTCTGGGCCCGGCTGATCTCAGACTCAGCCTGTAGCTGAGTCTGCTTTTTGAAAGTTACACTTAGGAAGCGTTTTAGAGTGAAGGACCACAAATTATCCTGAGAGTTAGTCCATTATCTGACATCCAGGTGCCTCACTCAATAGATCCATGCATCGATCTATTGAGTGAGGCGAGAGGCATGTTTGATGTGCCTTGTGAAGTCCCGGGCCAAGAAGATCTGAACCAGCGATGAGCTTGCATGCTAACATATGCACGACGTCCGTTCCTGGTACGGTGGTGGGAAGCGGCAAATGCCGTCGCGGCAGCTGAGATGGGCGTGGGGTGAGAATGGGGGGCATTGTTAGCCGCGAGGACACTGAGAGTGCTTTGTTTCACGGCCCCAGAGCCGTAGGCCGATGCCTCGCGTCCGTGTCAGGAGCACGAGCACCGGGTTGGGATGCGGGTCGTAGCCCACGTCCTTTCTATGCGGCGAACCCAGCTCTGTCCTCAGGAAATCCCTTCTTGTGCCTCCTGGAGGTCACGGATCTGCCATCGGCCACTGGAATGTTTCCGCTTAGGCGAAATTAATTTGGTGTTTATTTTTCCTACAGGCAAAGATCTCGGACGGTCAGTGTGGAATGGAGGGTCGGAGTGGACAGCTTGTTTCAGAGCCTGGGAGAAGCATCCGTGGCACGGTAAGCTCTGATACCGTTTCTTATTTCCGCAGTCTAATAACGCCATTTTGCAACATCACAAGCAGTCAAGCATTACCGTTATTTTTCAAAGTTTGACAATATCACTCCATCCTTTCTCAGATGTTTCCCTCAAGGGATTAATAGCGTTTGAAACTGCTCATGCAGGCTATTTACATGTTAATTAGCTTTAAGAGCCATTCATTTCCATACCTGATGGATATTGTCTGGGTATAACGTGCAGCTACATCCATCTTTATCAATCAATGATACAGTTAAATCGTGTTTTTTTTTTTGCACACTGTGCTGCAGTAGGTGTATAGCTCTCATCTTGTCAGCTAACTAAACCGGTGTAGTTCACTTTCTTTAGTCTGGCCTGGCTTATTGTAGGCTGGATTGCAGAGGTGATGTAGCCTGCATGTGAAGTAGGGAGTACAGAATTGCTCCATCACCATGGTTGGCTCACCTGGGTGCATATCAATAAAGGAGCAGAAAATGGAAGGACTGCCTCTATTGTTCTTGGTGTCAGTGAGTTTCCATAGCCATTTTCCCATCATCTGGGAACCTTTCAGTGAAATCTGTATTTCTTACTTTACAAAAAATGTATGCGGCACATTAGAGCACAGCATCGTTTCTGGATGCATGCAAGTTATAATGATCTACATTATTAAATCTTTATAACTTGTAGTCTGAAAATTACACAAATCTTTTGTGCTCGGAACAATGCAGAATACGTTTTGAGGAAATCATCCATCCATCCATCCATCCATCCATCCATCCATCACCATAACCGCTTAATCCCAACTGGGTTCCCCCACACCACAGGGCACACACACTCACACGTACACTTGAGGAAATCATCGCTATTAATAACGACAACAAAAAAAAAACGTTTTGGTTATTAATACTTTTTCTCCAGAGAGATCAATTTTAGCAATATGGAATATGTCTTTGGGAATTATACGTGTTTTTTACGATCACATTAGTATCATCCCAGAAGGTCATCAATAATTCATATGGCTCACTTTTCAGTGTTTGAAAATGCACATTCAAACTTCTGCCCACTGCACCTAATCTGTCCGACCATCTTTCAGTCTTACAGATTACTGCGGGGAAGTTGCATAAAACATCTGAAACCGAAGCGTGGCTTTCCTCCGCGCTTTTGCTCAGATTGTATCAGGGCCATGCCACGTTGTATTATTCATTTGACATTTTTGGCGTGTTGTGTTTCAACCCCCGTTACACATCTCGGGATTGGCGGCGGTCTTCTGTTGTTTGTTAGCAAACCCAGTGACTGAAAAAAAAAATCTTTTCAGGGTGTTTTTTTTAAGCCAGTGTGAGAGGCTGCATCAATTCTCATGCCGCTGTCATGATTCACCGCGAACGCTATGAGACAGTTGTGAAAAATGGCCATTGGGAGGCAGTGATATTTCCCATCATTAACACTGACTTCGACGTGTCCGATGTGATATTTTTTTCTCGCCCCTACGGACTCCTCCTGAGAACCTAGCTGCTGGTTCCTCTTTCTCCTTTCCATTCTACCTCTCACCCCAGCCTCCGAGCCCTCGAGATCCCCCCGCCTCCTAAATACCGCGGCTCAGCTTTGCCCGGGCTCCGTGGGGGTTGGCATAGAGCTCTCCGTTTATCGCGGGGTAAGGCGACGTGCCCCCTGCTGCTGAGATGAAAACGGTGGGGACTGGAGACCTGGAGAAGCAGAGAGCGGCTGCCGCGCAATTCTAGTCGCTGTTTGTAAGCAAACAAAGCAAACCCGACAGAGAGAGAAAGGGAGAGAGAAAGAGAGTGAGAGGAAGGACTCGCATCAGAACTGGGTCTGTTTATTCCTGAGACTTTCAAACCTTGATCGCTTTAAATCTGATTAAACATCAACCGGATCGCTCTGTTTACGTCAAAAATGCAAGACGCTTTCCAAATACGTTAATTCCAAAACGTCATAATTATTACACATCACTATGTTATGATGTTTTTGCTCGTGTGTTTTGACTGTTTGAACATGCATGGCGGGAGGGGGTGCGTTATGGTGTCAGGCCCGTACAGAGGGAACCTTTGGAGCATTATTAACAATGCATAAATCAACAATCATAAAGAACTTACCTACACATAATATAATGCAAACCGATAAAACTTTATGCCCATAGGAGTTTGTCTTTTTTCCTACCCCATCTTGCTCTCTGTAGCTTGGGGGGGGGTCCACAGTGCAGGGTCAACCACCATTCTGTGGTGCCCCTGGAGCTGGGGATAAGAGCCTTTGCTGAAGGGCCCACAGACACGTGACTGTTCTGGGGGGGCTCAAACCAACAACCTCCCAATCACAAACACAGAGACTTAGCCCACTAAGCCACTCACCACCCCCTGAAATGTTTCATGGTCGATGTTGCAACAACATCCTTTACTTCTAGAGACTGTTTTACATTAGGGTTATGACCTACAGTTGAGAGAGAGCTTACTGTTTTTAATTGTTTACAAGTCACGTAGAAACACACACTGGGGCATTCTGGGTATCGGGTGAAGCGTGGAGGTTATTTTCGCCGCAGTGATGAATGTGGTGTATTAATGAAAGTGCGCCGGTGGCACAGGAAGCCCCATCTCTGATTTTTCCCCCTCTCTCCCCTCGCAGGAACCTGGAAGGCGTGACACATCACACGCAGAAGGTGACTCTGGGCGGGGCCAGGGGCTGCAACACAGGACATGGGAGCTCCCCCAACCCCCCTCGTGTCTTGTGTTGCAGCCAGCGGACCCGTCCTCCGACCGGGGAAGGGGTGCAGGCTCAGCCGCTGATGGACTCTCTCTGTCATCTATAGCCGTCTCTGTAATGGGTTTGCGTGCCCATAGTAATGCTGGAAATGCAAGTGTCCTTGTTGTGGGAGGTGCAGGGGGAGGGGCCCGCCGCCTCAAAGTGGCCTATCAGAGCCACGGGAACGTGGGCGTGGCCCTATGCAGCCAGCAAACACTGTTAGGGCGTGGCGGACTGACCGGAGGCCTCCATTTTGAATTCCGCGCTGCAGATGTAGTGCCTGACAACATTTGCCTTCCCCAAGGTTACTGGTGAAGAGCGCAGGTGGGGAGGCGGACTGCCAGCCCCCCCCCCCAACAGCCTGTAGGGAGCTGCCTCTGGGGAGCCCCGAGTGGGGGGGGAATGAACATTTGGGTCATGTCACAGCCTTGTGTGCAACTTTTTGCAGGCCGCCTGGCCAACTGTGCCACTTTAACCCCAAGTCCTTGTCTGTCAGGGCAGTGCTGATTGTAATTTCAGTCTGTATGCTGCCCCCCCCATCGAGAATTAATGGCGTCGTCTGACAAGCGTATGTGCACAGACTCCCAGATGACTATCCCAGCTTGACGGGGGGGGGGGGGGGGCATCTGCCACGTACAGACATGGGCGACTTTGGTTACATTATATCAACGGCTCTACTGAATTATCATTTGAACACTTAATATTTCAGTCTGAAAAAGGGATATCTGAATTACCATGCGAGGTACGGAGCGAAGAGGAAAGCTAAAAGGATTTGCCCTCAAGAGTTTGAATATGCATTGAGTTTTGTGACAGGTAATGAGTGTGTTTCTTTATCTGGCAGAAGCGCGGCGCGGCGGGAGTGAGGGGCAGCTGGCGAGCCCTGATCAGTGAAGTGTGTCAGGCTGTCGCGGAGGAAGCGGCCTTTGACAGCGCCTCGGTACTTAGCCTGCGCTAAACGGCGCTCGCAGCTTTTCTTTGCAAACGTCTGCCTCTTTGCACGTGTCATTTCAGACGTCGCTGTCACGGTTGTGGCTGAGTCTTATATTCAAGGCAGTTCTGTCACAAGATGCGTGATGCTATCCAGCGACTTAGCTAAAAATTCCCCTGACAAAATGTTGCCTTGCCCCTCACCCCCCCCCAAATTATATAATCATATATATAATTATATAGTTTTACGTATTCAAGGGCCCCTGTAAAGTGTTGGCTCCCTGAATCTGCCAGGGTATCCATGTCCCTGATGTAGGGTTATCATATAACAAGATGAAAAAGAGGAAACTCTGTCTCTCACCTGGCTCATGTCACTTGTCGATGTCACAAGTTGACATCACTCGTGAGCAGTGTGAGACGTATGGGTGAACATATCACTTAATTTTTAATGTAACTGTGTGCACGAGCCTTGCAAACACTGAGTGATGATACTGACTGGCTGCTGTACATTGAAAATTGGTGCCTTTTCCTTCACTTGGTACTCGACTGTAACTTGCCACACTGGTTCATACGGGCTACAGTGCTAAACCTAAACAAACCGCCCGGACACCCGGACCCAGGCCAGAAGAGACCCAGGAAACCGGGACATATGGTAACCCTACCCTGATGCTACCGTCCTACCAGTAATGATAAATTTTGCCAGCTGATCTGTCCCAGCTGGAATACTGTAAACCAGATCAAACTGGGGAGAACAGCTTGAATATGGCTGGATACACTTGCTATGCTAATGTTGGGTAACAATAATATGATCATATTAGCATTCTGACATTAATAAAATCTCCATCTTCCAGCCACTTATTAAGTAGAGTGTCACAATGAGCCTGGTGGGTAACCCAGGTAGCACAGGTCAGTTCCCAGCCAATCAAGGAACCTGGTGGCTAACCCAGGTAGCACAGGTCAGTTCCCAGCCAATCAAGGAACCTGGTGGCTAACCCAGGTAGCACAGGTCAGTTCCCAGCCAATCAAGGAACCTCCCCCCGAGGACTGGGTTGGGAAACACTGGCATAAGTCATGGACAGGATGCAGCCTGCATGGGATGTCATTCAAAACTAGCAAATTAAAATAAATTGATTATAATAAAACACACAGTAAACAGGACTGACACTCATTGTTCAGTTCTTGGAGCCAGTCTCGAGTCACCAAGCAGGGAAACAAAACAGGTCCGTGTTAAAATCTAAATTAGACTTTAAATTGTGTGAAGGTGCCCCCCCCCCCTTGCCAGCTGTGGCCAGCTGCTGCAGGACCACACTGCGCTCCGTCCTATCAGGGCTGCGGGGATGCTCAGATGTGTCACGCTGGGCCCGGGGAAAAAAAAAAAAAAAGAGTTTGCAAAATGTGGGCCAGCTGAGGCGTCCATTGTTTGCTGAGCCCCCGGAAACATCCCGCGTTAATCTCAATGTTACACGCCGATAGCCGCTGATGCGTCACACTCCCGCAGGTAGGTGGTTTTTAATATAAAAGCTCACTGGCGAATTGAAATATTGTCAGAGGTGAATGCACATTCACTCCGCCCACAAAGGGAAATAGGTGCAACATTAAAATGTCCTTGTGTGGCCGGAGTGTCATTTATTTCCACATTCGGGAACCAAAGAAAACCGCATTACCTCCGTTTGCATGCCTGATGAGTTTCCTGCATCCACAGCATATGGCAATTTTGCCTGCTTATTCATAGCATATAGTTTATGAGAGTAATTCAGGGTAAACACCCTTTTACGGTTTTCTTGGAAGTAAGCAAGGAGCCTAGCTAATGGGTATGAATACAGAGCAATAAATATTTTTTTAACCTCATAGCGCTGTCTGTCTTCTCAATACAATACAGCTACTAGGCCTGAATACTGTTCCCCCTGCATGGCCTATAAATGTTTCTTGTCCTGATACAGCAAAGATACACTCCTTGCATGACTGGTCTCAGCGGTAAGATGATGGTTAAAACCCATTGTGGGCTCTTAGGAAGTGTGGCGTGATTGATCCCCTCACTTAAGCTCAGCTCTGTGCCTCTTGCCTCTCTGCGGTCGACACTTATGTTTCTGAGACGCTGACAACCGGGATATATTTCCTGTAGTTTAATAGATCAATGAGTTGTGAAATTACTTTTTCCATATCCTCTTATGAAAAAGGCACAAAAATATGTTGTATTGTCAAAACAATTATTTTATTTTCCTTGACCAATGTTCATCTCCAGGAAACTTGACTGGAAAATAATTTTAGGCCAGGACGTCCTCCAGAAGGGAAAAATGAATTAAGTGCCTCTTTGATACCAAAGAGGAGCTGAAAATCGAAAAGCCGGAGAGGAAATTAAGGCGACGGTAAAGAGTGATGTTTCTGCCGTATGGCACTCAGAAACGCTTGGAGCTCTGGGGAGGGGGGGGTCTCTGCTAGCCCATCACCTGCTGATGCCAGATTGTTCCCTTTCTGAGGCTGTGACGAGCTCCTTGTCCTCTGTTAATAAAAACACCACCGACTGGAGAGGATAAGGTGGTGGGGGGGGGGGGGGGGGGGGCAGTGTACAACAAAAGCAATGTTATCAGGGAGGAAACAGACAGCAGCAAGGACCAGAGCACGTCCTCCGACGAGCCATGACGCATCTCCATGACGCACTGCTGTGATGCGTCTCCGTGGTCTCCTGCTGGGGGCTGATTCCTGAATGTCACCCCCCCCTTCCATTCAATACCATGCATCCAGGAGTTTATTCACATCCAAATCTATCACAAGGCACACCGAACGTCTTCCTACAGACCCTCTTGGCATTTTCAAATCAGTTTATTGTGAAATCCGTACTATGCCTCGCATGGATTTCCATGTTATTGTTGGTGACCTTGTAATGATAACCCAGTTTAATTTGCTGATGCTTATCTCTATCTAATGCTATTAAAACAATTGCCAAGCAATAACAATAGATATCATCATATGTATGTTTGCATTCATGGATCTTCATATGTGCATATTTGCATGCTTGTATCTTAATATGTATGTTTTCATACTTGTATCTTCATATGTGTGTATGTTTGCACACTTGTATCTTCATATGTGTGTATGTTTTCACACTTGTATCTTCATATGTGTGTATGTTTGCACACTTGTATCTTCATATGTGTGTATATTTGCACACTTGTATCTTCATATATGTGTGTATGTTTGCACACTTGTATCTTCATATGTGTGCATGTTTGCACACTTGTATCTTCCTATGTGTGTATGTTTGCACACTTGTGTTTTCGTATGTTTGCATGCTTGTATCTTAATATGTATGTTTTCATACTTGTATCTTCATATGTGTGTATGTTTGCACACTTGTATCTTCATATGTGTGCATGTTTGCACACTTGTATCTTCATATGTGTGTATGTTTGCACACTTGTGTTTTCGTATGTTTGCATGCTTGTATCTTCCCTTGTCTGTATATGTTTGTGTGTCTTTGTGTGCTCATGTTTCTGCACATATAAATGCCCCCCCGGTGATGTTTTTGCCCAGGGCAGTGACAAGCTGCTTTTATTTCAGGATAACTGATGCTGATGCTTGCGTTAGGAGGCGTTCTGTGTGTCTCGGTGAGCAGTGACTCTGGACTCGGTGTCGGACTGGATCATACTGAACCAGAGAGGATGGTTCTGTTCAGGATAGTGCTCGATCGACAGAAGCGTTTAGTGACTTATTTCTGTGCTGACAAAATAAAGAGTATACACCTTCATGAGGACAGCATTCACTTATGGTAATCAAAACATAAAAAGTGATTTATGTGCACAAACTTGGAGCTTTTTTGCAGTTTGTAGGTTCAGTGAACCACTGGCTGCAGCGAGTAAAAAGGCACAGAACACTTTCAGAACTGGTTAATTAAATGTTAATCAATCGGTCAATCAATTAACATCAAACATGTAAGGAAATTGTGTATTGAACATACAGTACCCATCAGGAATGGAAAAGAATGTTATTTTCTATCAAAGATAATTTCAAAGTCCAATCTGCTCCAGCAACTGGACGTGGGCTGTGATATGAACAGAACAAACAAGCAGTCAACAAGGTGCGAAACTCATTTGTAGAGATATAATTTAATAGCAGAAGGACTGGTACTTCGTAACATGTTTGTATGACAGACCAGGGTCCCTCAATACCCTGACCCACCAAATACCCCAGCCTTATAAGGTAGAATCATTTTCCCATTTAAATGCCAGAATTTTAACAAATCTGAACCAGCAATGTTTTGAAAAAGAAAAAACACAGGTGACTTTTTATAAAAATAAAACGCACAGCAGGAATAAATAGGCACAGGTGCAACAAATGGGTGTGAACAGTGGTAGGGATACTGCTTGTCTTTGGAACGTAAGAAGGAGGGGCCAAATGCCTGAATGGAAACCATGGCAACACATTCAAACTCTGCACAAGCTAAGCTGAGCAGGGGCTAGAGACTGTAACCATGGAGATGGGAGCGACAGCATCACACAGCGAGCCACTGTAATGGCCTGACGATGCTGTTCTAACCGATCCGCCTTTTCTGTAAATCTAGCCTATCAGCAGTGACACAGTCACGCAATTCCCTAAATCTAATGACACAACACGTCAGTGGAATCAAACTAGAGAGCAAATGACGACTTGTACCATATCCATAATTATCCTATTTGATAGGAAACATGAACTTTAAGCTATAGCAAAACTAAAATATAGCAATACGAAAAAATACTGTTGTTTATCTAACTTAACATTGATTGTATGTTGAACAGGTTAGTGCCCCATCCTGGGTTGTTCCCCGCCTTGTGCCCACAGCTTCTGGGATAGCTTCCGGACCCCTGAGACCCCAAATAGTAGTGGTAGTACTTTATTGATCCTGAAAGAATTTCCAGGAAAGCTACAGCAGCACACACAAAAAGGGGTTTTCAAACTGTGCATATACAGTAGAAAAAGACACAATACTATACAAAAGATACAATACAATACTAAACTGCAATGTGCAATAAACTGTAATACATCTGCAATGTGCAGTGTGCAACATTTAAAAAATGCAATACTCTTCTAGAAGGCTGGCGACTGAGTGGTGTAAGGGGTCGGGGGGGGGGGGGAGGGTTATTGGGGATGCAGAAGGACCCGGGGGAAAAAAACCCAGCCAGGGCGG